ACACCATCTATACATCTCAAAGATCTCAATATTTGCAACCAATATATTATATATTATCATTGACTTTTTGCTAAATATCTGAAGTGTACTTTTTACCTTCGTTGCACTCTGATTCAAATGTTGCACAGGCAAATAAATACTGAGATATCATTCATATAATAAACTTTTGCATATTTTATTATTGAAGAATATTACTCATGATTTCATCATGATTCAATATTAGAACGACTAATAAGAGTTAATTTAATTGAGACTTGAAAGTATCAATTTTCAGTTTTTTTGTTTCATAAAATTAAAATGTGTTAATTTATAATTATTATTAAATAAATAAATTTGTAAATCATAAGATTGCACAGTGATATGGACTATGATTGTTCAATATGCAATTAAATGAAGACCATAATATCAAACCTTCTCTTATTTGGTACAATAAGTTATATAAAAAAAAATGTTAAATTTTTAATGTGATATGAAGTGTAAAGAAGCGGGTAAGTCGTAGGTGTCGCACTGCTGTACAGTAAGTTATAACTTATAACTTTATAAGTGTGTTACTGTAATGGGTGGAATTAAATTTGAATCCAATGATATTATTATTATATCATTATATACGAAAAACGATTTTGAGCGGAGACAGTTTATCTGTCTAGGATATATTATGGATTATTAAAAATTTTCAAATCTAAGATTTAAAAAGACAAACTTTTATAAATTTCTATCTAAGATAATTTGAACATTGCCGTAATTTTTACGTATTTAGTCAAAATTTGAACTTTAAATACTTATAAAAAAAAATCGTGACTATGTATTTTTAATATTTTTTAACTGATATTTTAACAATGTGTTAGGTGTTTTGAATTAAATTTTCAAGCTTTTCTAACCAACAAATAAATTTTTATTGATATTTATAGAAAAAAAAAAAACTAAAAAAGTTGAAAAATTAAAATGTAAGTAAACAGCTTAAAATTAATCACAATATTTTGAAAGTCTTATCAAATATAGAAAATTCCTATATAAACATTCAGTGAAAATTGCAAGTATCTGCGGTAATTTGTTTTAGAGTTACACCAAAATAAATAAATCGCTAAATAAGATATCAGTAAAACTTCAATGTTGTAGAACTTTAAATATCAAATTATCATAAAAATTTAATTTGAAATCTTAGATTTGAAAAGAAAATTGTTTATAAATTTCTAGCTTAAAATAATTTGTGAATTTTCATGATTTTTACATATTTTGTCAAAATTTAATCTTGAATGTTTATAAACAAATTGTGACAATGTATTTATTTTATTTTTGAATTGCTATTGTAAAACATATGTTAGAAGCCTTGTATTAAATTTTTAAACTATTCTACCCAACAAATACATTTTTATCGATATTAATTTAAAAAAAACTAATAATGATTGAAAATGTCGTATGCCTATAAATAGTTCAAATTAAGTCGAAATTTTTCGAAAATTGCATGGTGGATAGAATATACTTATATAAACATTTAGTAAAAATGTCATGCATCTATGGTAATTTGTTTTAATGTTACATCAAAAAACCAAAATCGGTTTTGTCAAAAATTGATTGTGTGTAAAAATTCTCGTTTTTACTTAATTTTTAGTTTGTTTTTAATTTAAAAATTTAAATAATAAAAAAAATTTAAAAAAAAACACACACACACATCATGGTAAAATCTATACATTCCTGGCTCCACTCAGAATCTAAAATTGAACTAACAATTATAAATAAAACAAAAATAAAACCTTTTTAAAAGTTTACTTAAATGAAATTTTATGTACATAAGAAATTGAATGTACTATGTTTGACTAACTTTGAAGATATAAGTACAAATACATTTTGTATATTTTTATAAATGTATATAATATTATGGATAACAAAAAATTGCAATTATAATTTATCATTTGGGACTTATCAATTTGTTGTTTTACCAGCATATTTTGTTTAACGAAATTTATGTTATGCGTGTCACATGCCTCTATTTTGTTACACAAAATTGTATATAAATGTGTCAGCTATCATCCAATGTCACAATTTATAAGTTCAAAATTTACAGTGTTAAAATTTTAGGGTGAAAGTAAGAAAAGATTACATCATTTAAGTTTTTAGTCCCTTTAAATTTGAATTTTAAATAAGTACTAGAATACTAGTTTAAAAGCTATCTAATAGTATTTTAATACCTTTTATTATATTCGTATCATTATTAATCATTAACAAGATATCCAGATTTTATTATTAGTTTCAATACAAATAATTAAAAAAAATAAAAAAGCAAATTATGTTACACAATTGAATAAACAAATGTAAATGGTTAACCAATTTTACAAAAATAAATATAAGTATAGGCGTGGTATCGCTAGTGGATAAGACAGTATTTTTGTATCATGTTTTGGATAGTGATATTTGTGTATCGCCTTCACTACAATTTGAATTCGAAGTTGCAGTAAAATAATTCGAGGTCTCAATATGAACGTTAAATAATCTAGTGAAACGATTCTTAACACTTATATCTGTCATGAGTGAGTGGGTCAATAATTTAAATTATATTCTTACTCTGGTACGCATTACTTATTACATTTCCTAAACCAGTATATATCTATATCAATGAGAAATTTTGAAAAATATCTTTTTAATAAGTTTAAAGATAAATAGATCTCATGATTATTTAAAAGCATGAGCTGGTTCTAAATGTGTAACAATTTCGAATATAAGTCATCATTAAAGTTAGTGCTTGATCAGATTTTCTGTTAAATTATTTTTTTTTGACGTTTCTATTTGATTATCTATTGTTATTTTGTTATCTTCTTCTTAGTTGGTGATGTGCTGTATCTAACATTTGTGATAATGATGTAGAAATGGATGGTGGAACATCATTTGATTTGATCTGATTTGATTTGAACATGTCTGGTGGTGACACTTTTATATATTATTTTCGTATCTGGTTAGGTTAGGTTAAAATATAATATTTTAATATAATATAATATAATATAATATTTTATGGATAAAATTTAGAATTTCTGAATAGCTATGTTTATTCTAAGTTAATTAATTAGTATTATAATATAATTTGATTTACCTATACCTAACCTATATAATCGATTTTATAAAAATATGGTACAGTATCGTAAGAAAGAAGTAAGAAATATACGATATTATCGAACTTGATTAAAATTTAACTCTATGTACTAAATTGTCAGTTGTCACTATCATCATAGTGTATATTAATTTATCGTCAAAAATTTCCTCCAATATGATCAAACTTTCCGGTAAGAAAACCAACTTCCATAAATGTCATCGATATGAGTATTTAATAATAATTACATGTTTGAAGATTATACCACGTGAAATTAGCGGATGAATTTTATAGAACATTAGATCTAGCTAAAGTATAGTTGTCCCTAATTTTTTTATTTCACCTGCAATATATGTGAAATAAATTGAGTGGGATTTCCAATAGTTTTCAAAAGTCTCAAGAAAAAAAAATTGAAAGAAAGACTTAGATTTTCCCAAAAACATGTTCTCGATACCAATAATGTTTTTTAGTAAAGCTCCAAGAAAATATCTGTTGATTGTGCATCTAATATACATTGAATGTTTATATTAGCGATTTCTATACACAATAAAGACTATTTTTGAGTATTTATTTTCAAATTTTAGATTCTAAGCAGAGTAATAAATATAATGATTTTACAATGATATGTATTTTTTTTACTATTGTGTTCGTGTACACGGTAAGTAGTCAAAAATTGCTTAAATTTTCAACTTCAGTTTCTTTTCCGGTAGAAAAATGAATTTATTTGGTGCATTTTGAGGTTTAAAATTAAAATTCTGGTAGTTTTCCAAAGCACCGAGAAAAACAAAACAAAATTAAAGAAAAAATGAAATTTTTAGGCATAGTCGGTTTTCAACAAAATCGATTTTGGTTTTCCATGTAATTCTAAAAAAAAATACTATATAGATACTAACATGAAATTTTACTGAATGTTTATATTTTAAACATTTATTTACATCACAAAAATTTCAAAATATTTTAATCATGTTGATCTCTTTTTAGGCATAGGTATGATAATTTTGATTTTTGAAAGTTTTTTAGATTTGTGTCAATAAAAATTGTCAGCTAAAATTTAATACAATGCTCCTCTCACATTATCACAATATTAACTTAAAAATATGAAAAATACGAAGGAAATATTTATTTTGATAAGAATTTAAAAGCAAAACTTATTTACAAATTATTTTGCAGTTGGAATTTCATAAAATATTTAAATTTCCATAGCTAATAGAATTGAATATTCAAAGGTTCCACGTAAGTAGTTAGTTCATTACGTTATCAAAAACTGTAGAAAACTATATTGGTAAAAACAGTTTATTTTGATGGATTATGAATTCTAAATTTACACAAAATTGCTTATTAAAACCAAGATAACCTCTTTAGGTAGTTATTTATATAGCTATAATTTAATAATATTTATTATGGGTACTTGACACTTTTAAAAAATATTATTATATTTTATATACATGATGACATTTTCTGATTTTCAAATGCAATTTTTCGATTGAACCTAGTTGAATTTACTAATATATCCTACTAATACTTATGCATAATAATAAAATAAATTACTTCATTACATCAATAATTATAATATCATAAAATATTCTTATCATCTAATCTTATACACTGATGGACTTTGCTTAGAATCATTTTTCATATACAATGATTTTTCATCATTTAAATCAAATTCAACACAATCATTACAGTGACTCTCTAGATGACTTAATTACAACAGACCATTGCTCACTTAGGTTCACGCTTTTTTTTCTAGTTTGGTTTTTACTGTAAAAATAAATAATTTTACAACGAATTATACCTAACAATTTATATTTGTAATATTTTTAGACTTTTGCAGTTTATGCATATCTGTCTCATCCACCATAATTAATAGAATACTATAAAATAAAGATAAATATATTCCTTAATTCAAAAATTAACTTACCGATAAAGCGTTGATGATCAAATTGTTCGTATTTTGCCAAGTCAACGGCGGAGTCGTTAAACGACCAAAATGGGCTAATTTTTTCCGTCTCTTCTTCTGCATCTGTAATTGTGTTACCATTATAACTGGTAGTATTTTCTGAAAAAAAAAAAATTTGTTTTGGTAGAAGTTGTTTATAAAGTTTAGTATTGTTATTTAAAACATAAATGACCATTGAGCACTAAAAGCAAGTATCGCGAACAAGTGCACCAGAGTTGAATCCCCAAAGTAAAATTAACCTGTTTTTAAACTGTTATTTTTTCTCTCAGAAAACAATGTATTTAAGACGTTATTATTTTAACCTATAGAACAAGCAGGTATGGTTATAATGGTTTTAATTATAACACAACTTAGACTTGGTTTTTACTTTGAATGATATAATATCATATTTATTTAAAATATGAATAAACAAGAAATAGTTACAATACAAATTCTCATTAAAACTTTTTAAAGATAGAATTTTTTCCCTACGCCAGTTAAACATTCCGGTAAAAAATTACGTTATAATATTAAAACATAAGTTTTTGAATTATCGGATGTCTTATGTTCTGATAAACTATTTTATCAATATTATAACAATAAATATAGACTATTAAACTGGTTTATGTTCTATGGTTATATTGCCACAAAACTATTGGTGCGTTTTCATTTTTATTTTAATAAATATTTGATAATTTGAAAAATTAATAACCGTATTAACCAAATGCCATTTATAATATTATTGAATTAAATTTCCCTTTAAAATCAGGCATGAACTAACATATACAAGATTAGAAACTACTAAATATCACAAGGAAAGGAACCTAATTGAATCAATTAGAGTACATCTTCAATCAAAAAAATTTTTGACGCATTCTACCAATCGAAATGTTGGACATTTTAATTTCAACAATGGTATACTTCTTCGAAATTCGATAGTAAATTGTAAAAAATTAAAACAATGAATTAAAAATCTAAATATCAAAAACATATTTTTTCATATTGGGCATATTTTTAAATTAAATTGTACAACATAATATTTAAGTTAAATGCACATTAAGTTTAAAAAATATACCGAATGAAAAAATTGTTATCAAAATAAATTTTAAATTAAAGTAAATAAAATAAAATACTATAAATATAAATTAATTTAAGTATTGAACATTTGTAGCTGAAAACTCAAAATTGACTTGTTGATTTGGTAACATTTTGTTGTAATATATATAACGCTCAAGATCGATTAGCTATACATTTGAGGACCCACCCATCGAGCTCCCACCATCATTTTGTTACATATGTCCAGTATCATATCTTAGTTTGTGGTGTATGAAAAGTGAGAAAGCGAGAAAGCGAGAAAAATAGAAGGCACTTTTTATTTACTTTTATACTCAATTTGTATGGTAGTTCGGTGTAGTAGGGTAAGATACATAGGTAGGTACATGGATTAATGTATTTTTTCGTCAGAACAGCCTATAAGTTGTTAAACATAATTCTTGTTTAGTAGCAGTCTATGATTAAAATAAATAATTAAAATAGTCAAATAACCATACTGATATTCAGATCGTATGCAAAAGTGCTTGCTTTAGTAAATTACTTTAACGGGCTTATAATACATAATATATTTTTAACCGGTATAGTGCGAAAACCGTCTAATATAACAAAACTAATTTTTAATCATTTTTAAAATTAAATTATTTTTTACTATATGTTTTTAATTATTCTTCTAAGAAATGGCAATTTAAATCATTGGATTTTTCAATACGTCGTTTTAACATTTTAGTACAATACCACATGATTTATTTACAAAATTATTATTTATAAAATTTATACTACACAAGTACACATAAAAATTATTAAATATAACAAAATTTCAATTAAATAAGGCAAAACAGAGTTAAAATATAAATGAATGAATAATATACTTTTTACAAAATTATTAAATTCTTATTAGTTAGCCGCCTCGATACATTCTACTTTCAACAATTGCATCTATATATAACTATTTTGTGTAACAACATATTTTTGTTCTTGTACTTATTATTTGGATTTTACATTTGATGTTGAATGGACCCATTATAACCATACCTGCTTTTTCTATAGGTTAAAATAATAACGTTTTAAATACATTGTTTTCTGAGAGAAAAAATAACAGTTTTTATTTAGCTCACAATTTATTTGATGATAAGTTAACTTCATTTTTCATCAGCTGGAACCTACCGCGACGGAACATACTTGGTATTTTTTTTTTTTAGACTATTGTCGTCCTATAACTTATATTGAAAAAATAATAAAACTTGTTTCTATTGTGCTTTGTCGCTGTATGATTAGCTACAAAATTGAATTTATAAGAAACTATAAAACTCATAAGACTCGGAGATATAGTAGATGATATTTCATACGGGTGTAAAAGTTAAAAACTTGAAATGTGAAATTTCGAGAAGTTTCTACCTACGATTTTGACATTATTATACCAACCATGCTATTTTGTCGTAATAATTACAACTTATGTAAATTATATTCATGGCATTTTTTTTTCACGTAACGAAGGTGGAAAAACGGCAAAATAAATTGTTCAAATTTAATGAAGAACAATATACTGCAGTAATGACAGTGGATTCATCACCGTTTTGCATGTATTTTATTATTTGCACATTTTTTAGCACTACAACATTAATGTAAGGTACTTAATACAGTAAATTGACTGCTATTATGAAAGCATATTTTRATCGGACCATTTATCTACAAAATAAAAAATAATAGAACTACAACTATGGAATATGGACATACGTATATAGTGCGATTATCAATAACTATTCAAATTCGATCTTTCGCGTAATGTTCGTAAATTTTTCAAATTCGCTGTACATTATATATTATATATAGATATACAGGGTGATTATTTTATCAAACAACACTCAAATGGTGTTTGCGTGTAAATACCACTTAACATACACCTATAACACATAAACACCACCCAAAAACACCCAACTTTGGGAGGCTATATCTTGTAAACAGATTAACGAAAACTGAAAATTCATTGAAAAAATAGCCCTTTTAGTTTATGAATTTTTAAGTATAGGTTGTCATTTGAAAATCAAAAGTCGATAATGGTTTACCTAATAAAAATAAGAGTAAAAATATTTAAAAAATATAAAGTTCTAGAACAATAGATGGATCTAAAATTTTGAAAAAAAAAGTTAATAGTTTTTGAAATAATGAGTGTAGTTTGATAAAAGAATCACCCTGTATAAAGAATTAAAGACACGCTCTTGTTTCATTGGATGATACGGACAATAATATTGCATTGTATTGTATATAATATTTGCCTTATATACAATATGATATCACAAAGCGCCGTTCTCCAATTTCTCTACCGTTCGTCAAAGTCATTCTTCAATATTATTCTTTAGTGTACAGTACATATCATAACATCGACTGTATATGCGCCCATTAAATTCTCAAACTGCCGACACGGTGGCGGTGGTGAAAAATTGGACTTTTATTGGTCGCTCGTTGAAAAAGTACCTATACGGAATTCGTCTTATTAACTTGCGCGCAGAGAGTTATCGGGTGAAATGCAAGAGGACGGTGGTGACGAATAGCGTTGACATATTTTCCTACAGCCAAAGTCGCATTTCTTCKATTTTTTTCTTTGGATTTACGAAAAAAGTTTCAAAGATACAACAACACTTTATATTGTGATTCCGTGCAGTTTCTTTTTATAAATCTCGTCTCTCGTGAATGTCTTTTGACAAAACACACACGTACAAGTTCGTTCAGCCGATTCCTTAGATAACCCCGACGCGACCTTTCACATCCCTTGTTATCTTTATATGCAAGTTTATTTATGATCTTTATACATCTTTTCGGGCTGTTTTGGGTTGTGCTTGTAGCGTTGGCCTATCAAGAAATAACTTATCAATACAGAGCGAAACGCTTAAATAGATTTTGCTCTTTGCCCCACCCCCTTACAACATGTAAGAAAATTGGAATGTATCATACAATAAAATGATAAATGTTTATTGTTTACACCTATTGAATACCAATTGTTTGCATAAAACATCTTGACACTAACATTAGAGACCCACTATTGATATATTGATTATAACATAGATTATAAATAGTAGTAAATTTTGTGTTTTAATTGATGATTAATAATGCTATTACTTAGGTACTACTACTAAATATAGTACATACTTCCCACCTGCGACTTGCTGCAACGACTTACCGCAATGGCTAGTCACAACTACTGAACGCTGCGTGTCAACTGGTTTCCTAAATGTGAATTTAATTTGCGGCTGATGTAAAATAGTTAATTTTATTCCAATATTTAATAGTGTGCAGGAGTGTTTAGTTCATAATTTTTATTTTAATAAATTATTGTTGTACCAAAGTGAAATTAACAATGTATAATACATTTTATTTTATTATTTTTTAAATTATAATCTACAGATTAACATTGTTTTGCTTATACATATTTACATATTTCAAGTATCAGCGAATAGACGCTGGTCTGATAGAGTTTATGTTAGCATAATCTTATAATTAAGTAGACACAATATCAATACCTAAGATAAATTCAACGTAATTTTATAAATGAATCAGAAATAAATTTTATAAATGTATTGTACCTATAACCATCTTTCTTTTAGGAAATTTTAAAATGGTCCTATTTTATACTGTCATTCTAATTATATAAAATTGATAAAACAAGTTAGAAGTTTAAACGGTAAACTGCACTTTAAAATGCTTTAAATAATAAAATATTTCATAAAGAATAATTTAATTTTCCTAAAAATAAAAATAAGAATATTAAGCATACATTTTAATATAATATGTAATATGTTTAATACGAGTGTATTATAATAAATATTTACAAAAAGGTATATAAAAAAATCAGAATTGCATATTTAAATACTTATTAAGAAATTCCAGTTCTATTGTTATTATCTATAGAATATTTTAAGGTTATTATAACAATATACGTATGGAGTCTACAGCACTATGTGTGGAATTCTTACCATGTAATTTGGAGTGATATTTAAAGATCCACTTTTGAAATATTCAAAAGAAACTGTTTTTCGTACCTTTAACACTGATTGGTTACAACTAAAT